AGTGGCTATATTTATTTTTAAGTTACAGAAACAGTTGATATATGTTTATATGTTGTGCCGAGAATTCTTGCAAAGATTCTCAACAATCCAAGTGTATATTCGATACAGCGCAAGGCTTTCATAAGTTATCAATCAAAGAAATGTTGTTGTTTTTGTGTGTTTTTTTGTTAACTGCTTTTCGGTGAAGTTTTTTTTATTTCGAGGGAATGCGCTGAAGCCGTGAGAAGTATTCAACATGTGGAACAAGATCTGTTCAGAAAAGACCAGACAAATCCAAGTGTTTTTTTGTTGTTGTTTTTTTATTGATGGAGTGCGTTCGAGCCGTGTGAAGTAAATTAAAATTGGAACAAGATCTGTTCAGGCTTGAGAAGAAAAAGTCTGGATACTTCGAAATGGAGTTTTGTTTTACTTTCTCTTACCGAAATTTTCAGTGGTTTTTGTTGTACTTAAGTAAGATGAACACTTGGACAGACACTATTTAGTGTGAATTAAAATTAAATTAAGAATATAATATACTTCAAACACTGTAAACTAATCTATTCACAACAGCATCTGGATAAACCCACATTACCTTTGCATGGCCCCAGCATACAGCACGCGAGACAGCATACAGCCTGTTGGACAACATACAGCACGTGGTGTGAGGGGGACAGCTTAAATCTCAGTAGTGTTGGAGTGTGTGACCGGATGTTGTTTAAATATTCAAACGAATTAGCCTAATTTTAAATAAACTATTTGTAACCATCACTGAGTTATTTGCTTATACATAAATACAACTTTATATACAATTTGACCTCCCTTATTGCGGAAAAAAATTGAGAAATGTTTATTTATGAAGTTGCTGTGCCACTCTATCACTCTGCCACCTTGCCACCCTGTCACTCTGCCACTTCTGTCAATCTGTCATTCAACTTAGTCTCCCATTTAAATTTGTTCCGAGGCAAAAACTTTTGAAATTTCACTTTGAGATGAACGGTGTTAATTTTTTCTTTTTTAAAGTAAAATCTGTATAACGCCATATGGTAACAATGGATAGATTATACTATACCACTATACTAAGATCTGTGGAATATTTCTAGCTTTCGACGATTAGCTTGTACAACTCGAGATTCAGCTACAAAACGTTGACGACAATCAAATCGACTCTAATCTGAAATTCGATGAGTTACACGTATCGCCTTTATTATTCGAATATGTATAACGATTAGTGTGACTACGCGTGTTTGTTTGTATTTCTATCTGTTACTTTCAAATTTGAAAACCAAACAATGCATCGCGTCCATCTTGACACGGCCATACCTTCGTGACCTAATCGTGGATCCTGGTTCGGTCAAGATTCAGACTTTACAATGCTACTTTATCTTCTCCTTCTTCTATATTTTGACGGCACGCGATCAATGAATTGATCATTCTGGCTCCTATGTTTCAGAGGGGTTGGCGATGTAACTGTGAGTTGTTTTGAAGGGGATGCTTCACTGGTTGCAAGGGCTACCCAGCAATAGTGTTATGAACTGGGGGTTGGATAGGAGGCAATAAACGCCAATGTGTCAAGTGTAGCCGCCTCAACTTTTGCTTTTGGAAGCTTGTTCCAGCTCCTTATTGTCTTTGGCAGGAATGAGGAGCTCCTGTACTGAGTTCTTGTTTTTATGAGCCGAAACTGCCTGTCATGCCCTCGTCGCTGTCTAGGAGGGAGAAGGACAATTTTCTGTTTAATGCTGAAGCAGTAGACCAGCCCATTTTTTCATCGTGTACATCATGGACAGCCTGAATAGCCGTCGCTGTTCTTCCAATGGTGACCAGCCCAGTGTTTCCAGCATGCTGCCAACACTTGAGGTGTTTCTGTATCGGTTCAGGACAAAGCGTGCTGCCCATCGCTGGACCGCCTCCAACCTGGCGACGCTCTTCTGCGTGAATGGGACCCAGACTGAAGATGCGAAATCTAAAAGTGGCGGAACAAAGGCTTTATAGGCTTTATCTTTCACGCTTGAGTTGCCGATCTTCAGATTTCACCTTAGGAACCGTAGGGTCTTGTTTGCATGGTTGCACACATTGTTAATGTGCTCGTCCCATCGGGCCTCTCTTTGAATAATAACGCCGAGGTACCCTAAGGAGGAAACTGGTTGAAGAATATGGCCATGAAAATCGTAAAGGTGTGTAGTTGGGATCTGGTTCTGGAGACTGTCAGGGTCTGGCACTTGACGGGATGAAATTCCATGTCCCAGCTCATCTCCCACTCAGCTAGCCTATGGAGGTCCTGTTGTTACTGGTCCTGGTCATAACTGTTGGTGATCGTCCTATGCACCGCTGTGTCATCTGGGAATAGTCTTGCTTCTCGGGCAGGTCATTGATTTATGCTAGGAACAAACAGGGGCCTGGCACCGAGCCGTGGGAGACCCCTGACTTAACACTAACAAAGGAGGAGGTGTACCGTCTACCACTTCTGCCTGTCATCGGTTGCTGAGGAAGCAAGAGATCCATGATTTGGTAGTGACTTGGATCCCATTTCTCTGCAGTTTGTGTAATAGCATACAATGGTTGACACGGTCAAAACCCTCTTAGAAGTCCACCAAAAGCACACCAGTTTTCTTGCTGTTCTCCAGATTGGTCGTCAATTCTTCTACATAGTAAAGGAGTTTGATCTCACATGATCAAAATTTTATAAAAATCACGTATATGCATTTCTGTTTGCAATTATGTAACTGTATGTGATTTATCATTTATTAAGAAGCGATTATGTAAATGGGTCAAACTTCTGGGGAATAAATGTTTCTTACTTCCCTTATGTCTCTCCTTCAAAAACACATTTGATTTGTACCGCATAACCCCAATACGTCACAACTGTAAAGCACTTAGCGTTAGAATTGATCTCCAGGACACGCAAGCATTGAACAGGTCATTAACATTCCTCAAGGACACGCACTCATTGAACAGGTCATTAACATTCCTCAAGGACACGCACTCATTGAACAGGTCATTAACATTCCTCAAGGACACGCACTCATTGAACAGGTCATTAACATTCCTCAAGGACACGCAATCATTGAACAGGTCATTAACATTCCTCAAGGACACGCAATCATTGAACAGGTCATTAACATTCCTCAAGGACACGCAATCATTGAACAGGTCATTAACATTCCTCAAGGACACGCACTCATTGAACAGGTCATTAACATTCCTCAAGGACACGCAATCATTGAACAGGTCATTAACATTCCTCAAGGACACGCAATCATTGAACAGGTCATTAACATTCCTCACTTCTTGACAAACAGAAAAAAAAAATATGGGGTGGGGGGTGGGTTTCTGGGGTGGGGCTAGATGTTTGATAGAATGTGAGGTCATCGGCAACGAGTCTATGTAACAAGTATCAGCTCGATAGAATGACGGGAAGTGGGTCATTTAGTCTTTCGAAGATTTTGCAACAAGCACGCAAAAAAAAAGCGAAGCCAAAATAAAGGATTGAAAAAACAGGAACCGTCAAGATAAATTAAAACATATCTTATTGTATTATGTATTTACTGAGCGATTGAGTTTGACACCCCTGTTGTACTGGGACACCTGACTGTCTACTGAGGTAGATACAGTATTATTGACAACCGGCTACGGAAACAACTGACTTCATGCTGAGGCGGACACAATAGACTGTCAAACCTTCTACTGACGGACTATTGAGGTTGATACATTTGACTGTATAACCGGCTACTGGTACACTACACCTAACTGACCACTGAGGTATGCACAATAGTCTGTATAACAATTATTAGAAACGTAAGACTAACATTTATCAACGTGGTAAGGAGTTTGTCTTTAGATCTCTCAACGTGATTTTACCCTGTAGGCCGAATAATAATGTGCAATAACAGTGTTTAAATATGTTGCGCACATTGTGTGTTCTCTTAAAGTACTGTAATGTTAGTCAAGTGTCCCATAGATGTAGCGTTGTGACATCTACCTCCATATTTATTCGTTAATCTTCTTGTATATTTTACGCTTCTGGTGTGACTCGTGTACTGCTTCCATTTCTGGCTGTTGCCTAACTTCCTAATCAGCAAAATAGTTATTGAGAGTATATAACAAATAATTCTAAATGTTTGAAAGAAAGTATGGTTCAATAATCAGTTCAATAGCGCGTAAAATATAATTCCCGATAACTAGGCTAAATGATTCATTATTTTTTTATAAACGCAACTGCGTTTGGTGCGTACCATTTTCTTTTCGGAAAATGGAATCGTCTCAATTTTAAGTATGGTGTAAAAAATATTTGGTTTAAAAGTGGTTGGGACATCAACATATTTAATCTAGTTTATGGGCGTGAAATTAAAAAAAAAAGTGTGCAGTGACGTATCATGAGGGGGAAGGGTGTAGCGAAAATTAGGATTCTTAAATGTGCGTTACTGAGTTCATGTTTTGTCAAGTAACTTTAGTAGATGGGAAGTTCACACATTGCTGTCACCAATGTTTGGCAGGATACATCTAATAGATGGGAAGTTCACACATTGCTGTCACCAATGTTTGGCAGGATACATCTAATAGATGGGAAGTTCACACATTGCTGTCACCAATGTTTGGCAGGATACATCTAATAGATGGGAAGTTCACACATTGCTGTCACCAATGTTTGGCAGGATACATCTAATAGATGGGAAGTTCACACTTTGCTGTCACCAATGTTTGGCAGGATACATCTAATAGATGGGAAGTTCACACATTGCTGTCACCAATGTTTGGCGGGATACATCTAATAGATGGGAAGTTCACACATTGCTGTCACCAATGTTTGGTGGGATACATCTAATAGATGGGAAGTTCACACATTGCTGTCACCAATGTTTGGCAGGATACATCTAATAGATGGGAAGTTCACACTTTGCTGTCACCAATGTTTGGTGGGATACATCTAGTTCAAAGTATTTTAATTAATTTTTTTTAAAATAAAATGGTCTCAGTCCATCACGCTTCCATCTATCGGGCAATCCATGTTTCCAAAGCTTCTGTCTTCACGTCAATGTTTACATTATCATTTAACATTTCTTCTGCTCTCTTTACGTTCATTGCATGCGTTTTTTTTAAAACATTACTTAAAAAAAAAAAAGAATGTCTTGCGATTTTCATTGATTATATTTTATGACACATTTATCGCTGACTTAGCTCAAACAATTGGTTTATATGGTCACTGTATGCTGTGTAGTATGTTAACACTTCAAATAGATGACGGATTTAAGGCTAGGTTAACCTTTGGGACAATTAAGAATGAATTATGTCTTTCAATTCATGCGAGAGTTGTGTGTATATCGGGGTCACACAGTCCACAGAACTTGCGACAGTACTTGTGTCCGTCGATTGGTCTGTGGCAGATGGGGTGCAATGACTCGTTCATCAGGACGCATGCGTGGAGGGACAGCAGATCGCTACAGTCACTGGGGTGAAGTGTGGCTGTGGAGAGATGGAAGTCTATGAAGTTTAGACAAAAAATCAAGATTAGAAATGTGTGCAGGGCATACAGGGCATAGCTCAATATCTGTAGAAGATAGTACAGGGCATAGCTCAATACTTATATAAGATGGTACAGGGCATAGCTCAATACTTATAGAAAATGGTACAGGACATAGCTCAATACTTATAGAAGATGGTACAGGGTATACCTCAATACTTATAGAAGATGGAAGAGGACACATAGAACTCAGTGAGCAGAGGCGTAGGGATTTTGCACTACGTTGAGGCAAGATAGGGCCGAGTCAGAAGCGTTACACTTGACACATATACCAAATAGGCACCAAATAGGCACAAAATAGGCACCAAATAGGCACCAAATAGGCACCAAATAGGCACCAAATAGGCACCAAATAGGCACCAAATAGGCACTGCTCCTGGAATATCTGCCGCATTTGAATGCCCTCTTGGAATATCTGCCCCATTCTAATGTCCTCTTGCTATATATTGCCCATTTGATGAGCCATCTTGGACTATCTGCCCCCATATAAATGCCCCATTGGTATAAATTCTCCATTGAATTCCCTCTTGGAATATATGCCCCATTTGAATGCCCTCTTGGTATATCTTCTCCATTTGAATGCCCTCTTGGAATATCTTCTCCAAGTGAATGCCCTCGTGGAACATCTTCTCCATAGTAATCCAAACCTGAAACATTTGCCCGAAATGACTGTCCTCCCGGAACAGGTGCACCATATAATTCCCTTCCCGGGATATCTTCCCAACATGAACCCCACCTGGAATATCTTCACCCCTTTCTAGGGGATGGATGGCCGCTTTTAATGGCGAATTGACCATTCTCTTTTCCTACTGAGACAATTTCGTGGACGCTACGTCATCCGAGCAAAAGTGTTAGCCATACATTCTATGAGGAGTAAGGAGTCGATGCACTCACAGTCGAGACATCAAACCGACTCACGTAGCTGTTCACGAGCCTGCTACTGGTGTGTCTAGAGGTAAACAAAAACTTACGACAGGACACTTCGTCGGCAAAGTCCAAGCAGTCATTGTCTCCATCACATCTCCAGGCGTGGTCAATGCAGCGTCCGCTCGGGCATTCGAAGTGGGTCGTTTCGTTGCAGACTAAAGAGAAGTACATTAATGAATTGCTCGCTGAACGCAACTGAAATGTTCACTTAACTGTTTTGTAGGGGAAATAACAAAATAGATGTGGCAATAGGCAAATAAAAGTGCATGCACGTATAGATGTGGATATAGGCAGAATTTTAGAAAAATAAATAATGTTTTTTTTAAACTTAGAAATCAATGTAGTTTGGGGATCTAGGGTTTTGTCGTGCTCTACACATCCAGAATAAAGTATTGTTTCAAATAACATCTTCTTAAGTGAAAGTGACAAAGTGTGTGCCTTGGGTTTTGACCCTATACTCACCGCAGTTGACCTCATCGCTGTGGTCAGGACAGTCAGCGCCGTAATCACAGACCCAGGTGTTGGGGATGCACCTGAAGCCGTCCGTGCACCGGAACTGGTAGTCGGCGCACGATTCAGCTGAGATAAGAAGACAGAGTTCAATAAGGTCGATGACCCCTAACATGAAAGAGCCATCCAGAAAAATCAACGTGTCGCTTAAAGTCGACTGGATTAGTTGGATACGAGGCCATGATGGTAAGAACAGTCTGAGGGCATGATGGTAAGAACAGTCTGAGGCCATGATGGTAAGAACAGTCTGAGGCCATGATGGTAAGAACAGTCTGAGGCCATGATGGTAAGAACAGTCTGAGGGCATGATGGTAAGAACAGTCTGAGGCCATGATGGTAAGAACAGTCTGAGGCCATGATGGTAAGAACAGTCTGAGGCCATGATGGTAAGAACAGTCTGAGGGCATGATGGTAAGAACAGTCTGAGGCCATGATGGTAAGAACAGTCTGAGGCCATGATGGTAAGAACAGTCTGAGGCCATGATGGTAAGAACAGTCTGAGGCCATGATGGTAAGAACAGTCTGAGGCCATGATGGTAAGAACAGCCTGAGGCCATGATGTTAAGAACAGCCTGAGGCCATGATGGTAAGAACAGTCTGAGGCCATGATGGTAAGAACAGTCTGAGGCCATGATGGTAAGAACAGTCTGTAAAAGGCCGTAGAGATGATATGTCCGCTTTGTAAAATACCATATGTTCGGTATGTCAGGATGATATAGGTTAGGGAATTGGGAATTGACCAATTAACGGTTATCGATTAATCGGCTTCGAGCCTTTGGGGATGAAGCGTGTTTTTGAAATAAACTTTATTATTATTATTAAAAAGCGAGCCTCCGGTTGCCTATATGGGAGAAAAGTGTTGAACCACATATCTTTATCCAATCATCCACAAGCACATTCTTACTTACTGCAGTTCTCCTCGTCCCAGCCATTACCACAATCATTGTCACCATCACAACGAAAGGTGGATGGTATGCACTTGTAGTTGTCACACTGGATCCTGTCTTCGGAACACGTCGTTAAATCTGAAAGGAATGTAAGCAACACTATGTTTTAGGTCGATTTTTTTTAATTAGACCTATTGTTTTAATAAAGCGCGCGGGTCGCATCTGTGTTCATGTCGGTTCAGGCTCCACAGGATTTTAAAACTTGTAATTTATTTAGTTATCTTATTATCTTACCTTTATGTTGAGGGGAAAAAAAAATATGTTTAAGACTTTCTTTTGACTCGCATTTCTATCTTGATAGTTTGTGCATCGTCAATGTTTTTTTTTGGTTTATACACTTGACATTTTGCGCTCAGTGGATTGTCCTGCCGCAACTGAATCGTGTCAACATCGCGTCTGCTTCGTTCAGCGAAAGGTGGGAAAAGATTGATAAACCGCGGTAGAAAGGTTAGTCAGAGCGCTCATATGAGAGTTGTGGGATTTTTTAAAAAGTAAATAATAATACTTTTGTCGATAGTAAGCAGATTCAAATTTAATACTACAAAGTCGCACATGAAATTTTTTAGTGTTAAAAATGCTTTTAAAAAAAAAAAAAAAAGATTTTCAATCAAAGACGGGTTAAAACTCAATAATTGCCAACCTATTTTGTCCCATTTTATTGTTAAAAACATATCGTTCATTAGGCCCTACTTGTACCAGGGCATTTCGTTTGCTTATCGGCCACGTCGACAAAGTATCATAGTTATGAAATCTAAACGAATAATGTGTCATGTTATATAAACCAATTTTTCAAATGAAAATAATCCATCAAGCTTTGTAATATTTATTAAATTATTGTGACCAGGAGTAACAACTTTTTTTTCGGAAATCAACAAAGGACTTATCCACGAAACGTGTAATATTTAAAGTGGGGAAATTTACGTTTTCGGTATTTTCCAAGCGTGGGAAGTTTTCTGAGTGTGCAATCTTATCGTGAGAAATTCATATGTGGAATCTGGGTGAGGAAAATTTTTTTGCGGGGAAACTCACAGAACAAACATACGAGACGTGCAGACCACATTGTGGGGTGATATTATTTTGTTGTTCTTGTTGTGGACCAATCATCTTCTTGTTCATTGTAAGGATAATTTAGCTTTTGTGTAGTTTAAGTTGTATTCTTACATTCACAGCCGTGGCACTAAAAAATTATTCTTGTTTACTTACGTTGCCTTGGTATCAGTAATTTCCCTTTGATTTTGTTGTTGCTAAGATTTGTTGTTGTTGGTGGTGTTGCTGTTGCTGTGTTGCAACGTATTGTTTTGTAAGCCAGTCCATGTCAAGCCGATTCGCTTGTTCAACCCTTAGTTTTGGTAGACGTAAAAGTTATCCTATACTTCTGTCAAATGATTGACTAGTTCTTTCTGGTCTATCGGCGCTAACAGGCGCATCAATTATTGCTATACTTACGGCAGTCGGTCTCATCGGACAGGTCTCCGCAGTCGTTGTCCCCATCACAGATAAAAGCTTTTGAGACACATCTGCCATTGAGACATTCGAACTCGTGCTCTGACGTGCATCCGGCAGCTGGCAACAATGTAGGTCAATCATTTGGTACATGTAGGTCAATCAGTTGATGATGTATGTTTATGAAGATACAGTTTCTAGCTATAATTTGGAGATTTTATCTATAGCTGGTGGATTTAACTGTAACTGGTTAAAGTAACTATACCTGGAGGATTTAATTATAACTGGCGATAGTACCGATAGCCATTTGGCTAAAATGGTATAAGTCTTTAATAACATATTCAAATACCCTGGTCGGCGTCTTTCGAATGACCATCTCACTGCCCTCTACCTGGCATTCTAGGGGGTTTCACTCAACATACAAAATATGAATATCCTACTTACGACAATTGACCTCGTCTGACCCATCGGTACAATCTCGACCAGAGTCACAGTAGAAAATTTGCGGTATACATTCGCCATTGTTGCAACGGAACTGATAGTCTTCACATGATACTGGAATGTACATGGTTTACATTATCACAATTGATAGTTTTCACACGATACTGGAATGAACATAGCAGACATGATCACAACTGAGTGTTATCCCCCATCATAATTTAAGTCGTTTAGTTTTACGATGGTCTGTCATTATTTGCTCAATTAAAAAACAAACACATTCCTAAATAAACCAAAAATTTAAAACAAAATTTAATTCATATTTAAATATATATATATATATATATATATTACAAACACATTCATTAAAATTGAAAAGCAAAACAATCTTTTTTAAACGCTTTGTTTTGAAAATTGTACTTCGATTTTGTCATCAAGAGAAAGATACTTTTTTAAAAAGTTCTTCTGATTTTAATTAATGATATGCTGATATGTAACAAAATTATGAATAGTCTTTAGATTGCGTCATACCTTGTCTCTTAATGTGCTTTTCATCCTTCAGACTTGTCTCCCCCTGCAAGGCATTGTTCTTGTACTTGTTCTTGGCGCCAGCTGCCAGAGCAAAGTACGTCACAAGGACAACAAGAAACACGTTTCTGGCGACCATGCTTCTGTGTCCCCTTCTTGCCAGGCAATAGATCAGGGGAAAAAACTGTTGTCTTATTTTATAGCCTTATCTCGGCCGCCTGATTTGGCAACACAGTTTAAGCTCTATGATCATGCATTCCAGTGGCGTCACCTTGGAATGTTGTACAAGCGTATGACATTTTTAAAAGCACATCAATCGGGACTTCATTGGGAACAATAGCTTTATTATAGCTTACATGTTACAACATTAATATCAAGACGGACAGACGGAGAAAAATCAGAGAAAGTAGTGAGTCTAACAATATAGAAAGTAGCGAGTCTAACAATATAGAAAATCGGTGAATCTAATTATATAGAATGTAATTATATAGATAGTAATGAGTCTATCAATATAGAAAGCAGTGGATATAACTATTTAGAAAGTAGTAAGTCTAACAATATAGAATGTAGAGTCTAACAATATAGAAAGGTGTGAATCTAATTATATACAAAGTAGCAGGTCTAACAATATAGTCAGTCTAACAATACAGAAAACAGTGAATCTAACTATATAGAAAGAAGTTAGTCTAACACTATATAAAGTAGCAAGTCTAACAATATAGAAAGTAGTAAATCTAGCAATATTTATATATGAATGATCTAACCTGGCCATATAACTCTTAGAAACGAATCAATTTAAAATTGTTGTGGTAAAGAGGATCTGGGGCTTAAGAATTTTAATAAATTTCAGTGGCGTGCAAAAATGTGGGGTTGGGCACATAGGAGGCTACTATCCGGCTAGTGGTTTCATTAATGTTTATTAAGAATGGGGGTGGGGGAGTGGATGAGATACGATACTTTCATTTCCCCCGAGCCAGCACAATATACGCCTCAGAATAAAGAAATGAAATTTTTAAATAATTAACCTTCTTCGGGAAACACGTATCAAGATGACGGAACAGGTATGTACCGTCATGCGTGGATGAACATCTCTTTAAATCAAATGTGAGTACAGTCGGAAAAGATGAGGTGTTAAATTCCTTTTTTTAACCAAGAAATTATATGTTATACCAATTGAGAAAATATAGTTCAAAGGTTTTGACAATTCTTGACGATATATAGATAATTATAACCATACTTCAAATAAACATATCAAAACCCAATCATTTTACACACGTGAAAATTTAATCTTTAAAGAAAAAGAGCATTTTTTTTCCTTTACGGCTTGGAGAAAGGTCGGTTAAGATATTATTTAAAAATACGAAAACATAGTTTTGTTTCCGCTGTGCGGAAAGTAAAGTTCTTGGAACAGCGGTGGTAAAATTGTATTAGATTAATAATTGTTTGGTTTTTTTTTAAAGTGGGTTAAGATATTCTTCTTTATTTGAAAGAATTGTGTGTTTTGCTGTTTTCGATATAAAGTACTAGAAAAACAAGGGAAAAGTTTGGTTACATTTTTAATGAATATACCAATATATCCAATTACGTCAATTTAAAAGATATTTAAAATGGTAAATAGATTTTCATTTTAAATTTAAGATAATGTTTTTTAAACGTTTTAAAGAAGAAAAAAATTGTTCAGGAGCCTTTTCATAGGGTTATGGTAGACCTGCACCTTTTGTAATGGAAATTTTTTTTTAAAAAGCCTGTTTAAAAAAATTAAAATAAAAATAAATTTTCCAGACATAAATTGACTTGATATAAAAACACAGTGTACAGATTTGGCCTGCTAAAATATTGGGATACCGGATAGGTTATATCATTATATTTTGACCCGCAAATCTTTGCCTTTTCATAAGCAATAATATGTATTAGATTTTACTTTCTTGCACAAATCTGTCTTTTAAATTATTTTCCAGATTTCTAACTTTTATCATTAAAAATTTGTGTGTGTTGGTGTGTGTGTGTTGTTTTTTTTAAACTTCTTCCTGGCATGCAAAGTTACGATGAGCAAGAACGATAACTGCAACCATTGATGACCAAAAAAAATGTGTTAGTAGCCATAGTCATAGTTTGTTGAGTATGTTCACCAGGATGTCGAGCCACGATGAATGCTTTCTATCTATTGATCAATTTCTCCGGAAATGATGATGGCCTTTAAAGTAATTTTAATAGCAAAAACAGGGGCATGTCAAAACGACCATAAAAATATAAAATGTAGAGCTTTCATGGGTCTGAGACATAAAATCAATTTTAGCACATTTCATTTGACTATCAGGAATTCAGGGCACTAAGGCATCTCTAAGTTCAGAGTTGAGCGTGTTGCTTTGAGGTCAAGGGGCATTGTTGACACTAATATTTATTGAGACATAAAATCAATTTTAGCACATTTCATTTGACTATCAGGAATTCAGGGCACTAAGGCATCTCTAAGTTCAGAGTTGAGCGTGTTGCTTTGAGGTCAAGGGGCATTGTTGACACTAATATTTAAATAGCTTTGATTCCTTACATCGTGCACGGTTGAGGTTTAAGTGAAACCTCTCCATGGTGGAGTTAATTACCAAAGGCTACAACATTGCTTTCATTCCAACCATCTTAGTAAAAAGAAAAAATTGACATCTTGACAGCAAAGAAATGCACTTGAAAACGTCTTTCCAGGAATCAACCCCAAAATAAACAAGACATTTTATTATCTTTATTGATTCGCCAAAGATGTCTGAATTAAAAAAAATGTGTACGAATGAGCAAGAATTAAAAAGTCGACAAATCTGAGCGTCAGTCGAGTCAGTGGACGCTAGTCGTGTGTGGTGGTGTCAGGGTCACACAGCCCACAAAACTTGCGACAGTATTTGTGACCGTCTTCTGGTCGCTGACAGATGGGCTGGGCAGTCTCATTCATGACGGCGCAGCTCACGACTGTGATCAGGTCATTGCATAAACTGGGGTGGAGTGTGGCTGGAAAAACATAGGAGAAAAGTGTTTACTACCCGGATTTTTGCAGTTAATTCTGAATGTTCTTCTTACAAGTACACGGTTTTTTTGTTGTTGTTGTTTTTTTTGTAAATCTCTGAATTTGAAAATTTTCAAGCGAAAGAAAAAAAAATCATGTAAATCATATTTATTTTGAAGATCGGAAACATTCCAACATGGAACAGCTGTAGGAAACATTCCAACATGGAACAGCTATAGGAAACATTCCAACATGGAACAGCTGTAGGAAACATTCCAACATGGAACAGCTGTATGAAGATGTGACGTTCTCAAGTGACCATTGTAAAAATAGTTAAATGGAATTATTGTTCAAATATTGAAAAAATTTTCCCGAACGTGTCAGAGAGTGTCCACGCGATGTCTGGTGAGTGTGAAACATGTGAAAGCTCTCTGTCCTCTACACCAGCGGTCCCTAAATGGCGGTCCGTGGACCTTCACCGGTCCGCATGCCTAACGCTGCCGGTCCCCATAACATAAATATTTATTGTCAAATAGAAATAAAAGTATAAAAATAAATCATGCACCTGTCCGTGGTAAAATTTCGAAATTTGTTCAACGGTCCGCCAAACTTAAACGTTTGGGAACCACGCCTCTACATAACTTATGCTAGATTTACTTGAAACTTGAAACGGCCTTTTAATCCCTTATTCTTTACCAGCGACAAAATCAACTGTAAAGTAATTTTTAAGCATTATTCTTTTTTTCTAAATAAATAACTTACGACATCCTAGTTCATCAGAGGCGTCGCCACAATCGTCACCACCATCGCATCTGTAGGAGATGTCTATGCATCGTTGGTTGGCACATTTGAAGTGAACCGTTTCATTACACGCTGCCATCAGAAACGACAATCAAATAGCTATCAAATTGTGTACATTACAAAGTTGGGCAATTTGTGTATACATTCTAAATGATGACAACGTACCACTTAATAGTAATAATGTAGCACACTACCCCTGTGTGTCACTTTGATAGCTGTGGGTAAACCCCAGGCTAGAGGATAACATATTCACAAGCTGAAATTAAAATAAGCACAGTGCTGTGTGCCAGGGTCTAGCTTCCGGCTGGTCATTCACGGTGAGTGACCATACCATGACCAGCACGTGGCCCCCGACTTATCCTCTCTACCAGTTGGACGGTGGAACACATTATGACGCCATTGTTCTCCTCTGTGTCTGCGAAAGTCCGATATCAGGAAAGTGAATTGCATTTCCTCGATTTGAATCGCGAAAGAGAAAGAGAGAGGACGCTAAGAAGCAACAGCTTCAACCCCCGCTGTTTTGGGGGGGAATTTGTCCTATACGTCGAATTTGTGGCGTGTTCTGCAATACTGAATGGCTTGATGTCAACCAAATTTCTGCGGTTCGCTCTTGTCGGCCAAGTAAAATACTAAACTTTCATGAGCTCCATGACAGTGGTTTGGAAAAGAATCTGTTTTGTTCTTTTTGAAATATTTTTTAATATACCGAGCATGTCACTTATTAGAAGAGGTGCATAAAGGATACAGTTGCTACCTTTTTTGTTGTATAATCAGTTTGGCTGATATATGTGTTTGTCTAGCAACCAAAGAGTCTCGGATTCATGAAGAATTTGAAACCCTCTTAAATATGATAAAATATAAATTTGAAATGCATTTGTTAATGTCCTACCTAACTTAGTAGTCTGACAAACTGTAAGAGCTAAAAGTAAAACACCAAATATTTCCCCGTAGCCAAATGACTAGGGTTGTTGTTGTTTTCCAATGTAAACTAATGCTATTGAAGGTAACGTGGCAGGACTTACTGCAGTTGACTTCATCACTGTGGTCAGCACAGTTGGACACAGTATCACACAACCAACGGGCATCAATACACCTGGACAGGTCGGCGCATTGGAACTGGATGTCCAAACAGGATGCTAGAAGTGACCAACAGAAGAGTGAACTGTTTTATGACCTTAAAAACAGGATGCTAAAAGTGACAAAACAGAAGAGTGAATTGTTTATGAACTTACAAACAGAAAGTAACGGGTTACAAATGTGCACAGATTGCTGAGAATCCCCGATGGATGCATCTCAATATAATTCCGTATCCTAATAAACAAAATACATAATCTCGACCCTTGGATCATGTTAAATCATTGATACATTTCTTGAAACAATCCGCTGTCTTACCACAGTTGAATCGTCCCACATTTCCTCCCATCACTGTCTTACTATAATACAGTTGACTCGTCCCACATTGCCCCCACCATGATTTTCTTACCTATTACAGTTGACACGTCCCACATTGCCCCACAATCATTGCCCTACTTACTACAGTTCTGCTCGTCCCAACCAGTACCACAATCATTGTCTCCATCACAGTGCCATGCTGCTGGGATACACTTGTGGTTGTCGCATCGGATTTGCTCAGTGTCACAGGTTATTTTATCTGACAGGTTAAACAATCATATCACCTATAACTTACGTATGTGCACAACATATAACTTATAGATAAAACATATGACTTATGGATACAGCATATAACACATGTGTACAACATATAATGGAAACCAACTATAACGTACTGTTAGCACCTATATGACATGGAATATCGTATACACTACAATGGAAGCCAAATATAACATATTGTTAGCACCAATATGATTTGTAATATCATGTACAATACAGAGGAACCCAACTGTGACGCGTACAGCTTGATGTGACTTCGGATATAACGTGGTTATGGCATTGCTTCCAAAATATTCATTGACATATAAAAACATTTTGAGATGCATATTCTATTGAAGCACGATCCCCAACTGACGAAAGCTGGTCCATCTTCAACACGGTGTAGCTCACTAGCCACAAGATATGCAAACATTCGTTTTTTCAACCAACCACCTCTCTGCTTGTTGTAGACATCCCGGCGCTATTCGTATAGAATATTTAAAATGCAGTTGTCTGATTTATGGACCTCAATTATCGCTTTATAACGGAGTTCCACTCTACACAGAGTGACCAAGGTTAGTGCCAACCGGGTCGGGCAAAGCTTTTTTGCCACCTTCTCTCCCTTTAAAGAAAAAATATATTTGACAGAAAATACCACCCCTCCTTGTGAGCAAAAACGTGCCAGCTGGGGACCCAGGGAAAACGTGCCAGCTGGGGACCCAGGGAAAACGTGCCAGCTGGGGACCCAGGGAAAACGTGCCAGCTGGGGACCCAGGGAAAACGTGCCAGCTGGGGACCCAGGGAAAACGTGCCACCTGGGGACCCCCCTCCCCCGCAATCCCTTCATGTACACTATTCCACCACATGCCATAGAGTCATACTCACGACAGTCTGTTTCGTCTGTCAGATCTCCACAGTCATTGTCGCCATCACAAGTGAACTCCCTGGGCACACACTGACCATTGTTACAAAGAAGTCCGTGCTCTCCAGAGCAATGTGGGGCTGGAAGAAAAATATATTTATTGCATCCTCTACTGTTAGGCCGCATTTCATTGGAAACTGAGTCATGTATAAATCAAGAAAAGTATCTTGTACTTACTTTTCGCACAGGGTCACTCCTCCACGTGGAGCGAGAGACTAGAAGATTTTGAGGGCAACTGATGTGTTTGGCGGGAGTTAATGATCAGGCACCCGTGCCACGACACTAAATCTCTGAAAGCAGCAAGTGGCTCCCAGGCGAGCAGTGATTAGCGCGCTCGGATACTTGAAAATCACTTTTCAAAAGCGAGTTTAAAAAATGCCAGTGAAGCTGGGGAAGGCCGATTTATCAAATGTCTGCGAAAAAGGGAACTCGAGCCCAAACAATGAGGCCCCAACCAAGTAGTTTTAACAGCACCTCTCACTATGAAAGAATTGCGAACAAGTGCAAGTCAGCCAAAGCACAGATCCAGACAAGTGCAAGTCAGCCAAAGCACAGATCCAGACAAGTGCAAGTCAGCCAAAGCACAGATCCAGACAAGTGCTAGTCAGCCAAAGCACAGATCCAGACAAGTGCAAGTCAGCCAAAGCACAGATCCAGACAAGTGCAAGTCAGCCAAAGCACAGATCCAGACAAGTGCAAGTCAGCCAAAGCACAGATCCAGATACGTGGTCATAAGCCAAAGCAAAGATCCAGATACGTGGTCATAAGCCAAAGCACAGATCCAGATACGTGGTCATAAGCCAAAGCACAGATCCAGATACGTGGTCATAAGTCAAAGCACCAGATCCAGATACGTGGTCATAAGCCAAAGCACAGATCCAGATACGTGGTCATAAGCCAAAGCACCAGATCCAGATACGTGGTCATAAGCCAAAGCACCAGATCCAGATACGTGGTCATAAGCCAAAGCACCAGATCCAGATACGTGGTCATAAGCCAAAGCACAGATACAGATACGTGGTCATAAGCCAAAGCACCAGATCGAGACAAGATCCACAATGAAATGATCACACGCCGTGGTAGAAAAGTCAGTCAGACGTTTTTGGATCTCGAAAACAAAACCCTGGCAAAAAGCGCCCCCTGCCGACTGTTTCGAAAAAGCAACGATGATCCCTAGTTCCAAAGATGGTAAATCAGGCGACCTTCCGTCGAGCTATCCCCGATATCACTAAAACGGTAAGTAGGAAAAATAGCCAAACGAATGTTAAACGCATGACACTACTGGCTTTTAGAACTACTGAGAGCCTGCCACTGACACAAGGTGGCTTCCGTAAGGAACGCCAGGCCAGCCCATGGAACAGTTTATCTAAACCACTATCAACAATATCCAGATGACAAGCAACACTATGGCAGTAGTCTTGGATCTCCAGCAGCCCTATGACAAATTACATCGCATGGGTCTCATGTACTAATTACTACTGTTGGATTCTACTACGGACTTATACCATTAAATCCATTCATTCTCATGGGATATGAAGATTGCGACAGTAATAAGGGAAAACGTATTAAATATGTATGCACTCGAGGATGAACTCCCGCCGTGCTTAGCCATGATCTACATCTTGGTTTTTGGCATATGTCTATGATATAGAAGAAGCTCTGAGGACAATACAAGTCTGTTACCGACGACTCGTGTTTCGGAAGCGAGAAACGAGCTGGATATAGGGCATTTATACAGTAATTACGCCAGAGCAGATTTCGGGGCTCAGTGGCAAAAATAATACAAATATCTATGTATAGTTCGAACAATTTTGGTGGTCCTGAAACTAGTACGCCGTCGACTAACGTGGAGAAAAATCTTCCCGAACATTGCGGTCTTCATCGACACCCAGTTTGCCCTTGCATCTGTGGATGGAGTTAACGGTAGTCAATGCCATTGTGGAAACAGCAGAATACATCTATGCATGGGGTGGCATGGTCATCCTCGACTGGGTCCATTGTCGCTTTGAGGTGATGCAAAACGAGAGAGCAGAAACCATGGCACGAGACGGTAACAGCTCAGCCGGAACCAGACCCTTGCATGACTTAACTGGGCGTCAAATCCTGACGCAAAGAGCACTTTCATTAAGAATGGCTCAACCGCTGGTTGGAAGGTGACCCAGCTCGAAAGCTTTACCGAAACCTGTCGCGATCGAATCGAAGCCACCACCTGTGCAGGCTGAGTAAGAGCGACCACTTGTGCAGACTGGTAGGAAGCGAACAACGAGTTATTGCACAGATTCGAACAAATCACTGCATGACGCGAAGCAACTTAATAGACTCAAATCCCTAAGCTACCTGCATAGACTCAACCCACGAAGGAATCCTAACGACCGACTCTGTAACCTTGCCACTGACACAGTAGAGCACCTAATGGCAGAGTGCCTCGATATCATGGGCCGTTTGACAGGTCAAACCCGGACGTATGTGTTAATCGTTAAATTTATGGTGACATTGGTACAAAAAAGCTCACCTGTAATGTATTATAATATAGGCAAAGTTATGAGAGTAGTTGCTCAAACTTACAAGAGAAACAAATAAAATTAAACTAAATTAAACTTATAGGATAATATTTTGCTGTTTTATTTTTTTTATCTCTGTGTCTTTTAAATATTACACTAAAATATTATGACCCCTTTCCAAAATTTGTCTTCACTCTTTCATTATTTTCTAAGTCATCAGCACAATTGAAGAAGAATTGCATTAGTTAGGAAAAGGAATTGACCTGTTTTGTAATACCAACAATGGTCCGTACACACTGGTAGTTTCATGCAAATGGCGATGACCACTCCAACAGCAATATTCTTATACTTACGACAGTTGAGCTCGTCACTTCCGTCCGTACAGTCTCTGTAACTGTCACACTGCCAGTTAATGGACAGACACTGACCGTTGGCGCAATGAAAGTCATTGGGATCACATGTCACTGGTTTTGAAAAAAAAAAGGTGGTGGTAGGAAAAAGTAAATATAGGATTTATTTGTTAGTTGTGGATGCAAATTGGAAGTAATCAACCTCAAAGTCAAATTGGAAGTATTTAGTCTAACTGCTTTCAACAGATTTATCTTGATATTTAAAGAAACTCATACTCGATATTTAAAGAAACTCACTCGATATTTAAAAGAACTCACTCGATATTTAAAGAAACTCACTCGATATTTAAAGGAACTCATTCGATATTTAAAGAAACTCATTCGATATTTAAAGGAACTCACTCGATAATTAAAGAAACTCATTCGATATTTAAAGAAACTCATTCGATATTTAAAGGAACTCACTCGATATTTAAAGGAACTCTCTCGATATTATTTTTTCCCCAGCATTCTGCCTGATGAGTACAGCTCAAACTTTCTTAGATCTGGACATCGGTTGTCCAAGTTTTGATCTTATGTACTAGTAATGTACCGATAACTTCTAAATTCTTACAATGATCACATTAACATTTTTAACTGACATTCAGTTACACGACTAAGAGCTTAAATTTGAACAAAAGATAGATCAGTGGGGTTATACTCTAGTTCGTAGCACGTGCACCCATAGGAATTTTATCAAAATACCCAGAAGCCGTGAAAAAAAAAAACTTTACCCGGTTAATCCTTATAAGTATATATAAAAGTTATAGGAATGCAATATGTTGGATATAGGATGGCTTTATGACAGCTTTATGACTGCTTTATGACAGCTCTATGACTGCTATATGATATGATATATTACTGATATATGGCGGCTATGTTAAATGAATTTTTGTTGCTTTTTTTTTCCACTTCTAAAAGAGTGTATAAAAAAAGGAAAAGGTTAGTTCCTTTGAGGTTTAAATATCCCATATAAAATAATCGAATTAAAATTTCCTTCAAATGTGACTCCCAGTTGAGAACCGCTGGCATGCACACTCTTGTATAAGAATTAAGTGGGTTTTTTAAATGTTAATTGTGTATGCCGTTGTCCATGGCAACTATGAAACATTGCCTTAGATTTGATAGTTAACAGCGCGTCACAGAGTAACGGATTTCATAACTGAACTACCTTGTCTCTTGTGTGTCCTTTCACCTCTTCTCAAACTCTGGAGGTCCACATCAAATACAGTCCTGGCGTATTTCTTCCTTAGTTCACCATCAGCGACGGCAGACATCAAACAGACGACAACAACGCATACCATCACCGACGCCATTGTTCAGGAAACTGTTGTATGTCGTAGTCTTGGAATCTCTTGGCTTATTTCACAGTCAACTACCAAATGGTTCTACGGCTCTGCTGATTACAATACATGTCTCATAGATTTAAGTTTGTTTAAAACAGGGGCGTAACTAAGACACCATTGTTTTGACCCACTCCCCCTAAATTATTATTACATTTTTTTGTGGAGACAGCTGGGAAAACATCGTTGTTGTTGTTTGTTTTGTTTGTCGTCATCCTTTCTATTAACTTCGCTTTTGTTCGCGGGCGGCTGGCTGGGTTGGTGACAAAAACTTCGCACGGATAATTGACCCACTTCTTGTCAAGCTATCGTGCTTAAAATTCTCTCTTAAAAAGACGCGTTGCCAAGGAAAACATATTCTTTCAAATTCACAGCCCCACCCACAACCTCAAACTACCAAAAAATCAATTTTTTTTTGTTTGTTGATTTTCCTAAATGAAACAAATTTGATGTGTAAAAGTGGTTGGGTCATTATAATACTAACACAGCTGAAGGGCGTGAAACAAATGTGCGTTTACGAACCTTGGGTAAGGGGGTGGGGGGCAGTCATTGGGATAATTATAAAGTGCGTTACTTGAATACATGTTTTGTTAAATTTTCAACGCCACACCCCCCCCCCACCATTGCTCCAATAGTACATTTTAGTAATCATTTATATGATAAACTTTCTTTTTAGGAATCAATTAATTCTTTACTTTCCAAAATGATTCAACCGGTTACCGGCAAGACTACGTCTACGATTGTTTGGGCTAAGCCGGTGATCAGCAACCTGCAGCTCTGGAGCCACATGAGGTTCTTTAAAGAAAAAGATGCGTCTTTTTTTGAAGCTCTATACAAATCTATATGGTCTTTGGCTCCTGGAATATTTTCTCAGTTTATATAATGTATCAAAATGGATCATAGCTAAATACATTTAACGTCAGTATCTCAAAGCTGGCCTAGTGGTAGTTAACGACAGCATCTCAAGGCTGGCCTAGTGGTAGTTAACGACAGCATCACAAGGGCTTGCCAAGTGACAGGTAACGACAGTATGTCAAGGCTGGCCTAGTGACAGTTAACGACAGTATCTCAATGCTGGCCTAGTGACATTTAACGACGGCAAAAGACAGTATTACAAGGCTGGCCTAGTGACATTTAACGACGGCAAAAGACAGTATTACAAGGCTGGCCTATTGACAGTTAACGACAGCATTAAAAAACTGGCCAAGTGACAGTTAACGACAGCATCACAAAACTGGTCAAGTGACAGTTAATGACAGTATCTGAAGGCTGGCCTAGTTACAATTAACGACAGTATCACAAGGGCTTGCCAAGTTACAGTTAACGACAGCATCACAAGACTGGCCAAGTGATAGACACCAACAGATGTTACAAAACTGTGTGGAGGGCACACACATAGATATTTCTCTCGAGCTTCAACATCACACAGTGACCAAAGTCCAGTCTTACGGAGCAATATTCAAATGGTATCTCAGTACGAGCGATTAATTTAACAATTACCAAAAAAAGCTTGATCATTTTTATATTGTTGTTGTTTTGGATCTGTGGGTTCATAATAGAAGACCCTGGTTTAATTCTTCCTGAAGTCTGGCTGTCGTGGATTGCCTATCATTGCGCACGATAAGCGATTTGTAGATAATAGGTCCTGGTAAAATTAAGTGCACAGTGTTGAGATTGAACAGGTCAAGGGCAACACTACAGCCAAGGCTGAAATTGAGTTCTCCCGAAAGTGTCTTTGTTTGTGTGTATGTGTGTGTGTCTGTCTGTGCGTGTATTTGTGTGTGCGCGAGAAAGAGTGTGTCTGTCTTGTATATATATATGTATATATTATATTATATATATATGTTTTCGCGCTTTTATTAAGAAAAAAAGGGTATTGTATAATGATAAAGTGACCTGGTTGTTTTGCCGGCCTTTGTTGATTCAACACTTCATTGTTGTACTGATCCAATCAATGACCCCTTGAAGTTAACAACAGCCTGCTTCATGGGCATTGCATTTGTTTTTTTATAGGCGCTACCTTGACTTACCAATCTTTTTAAGTTCTTGAACAACTGGATTAACTATCTTTCCCATAGCCTCAGATGTCGAAATTCAAGAGACAGCTTTATCTAGTGGGGCATATTCTTCTATCAAAATTTGGCATGATCTCCTATCAATAATTTTCATGCAAAGTATTTTTCTTTAATTAAAGGAGAAATGTTTAAAAAAACAAAAGCTTGCATTAAGGGGAGTGCTTAAGGGAAAAGTTAATTGCTTAAGGGGAGTAACTTGCTAAGGGGGGAATGAATGGCTGAAGGGGGATGGGGGGCCTAAGAAAGTGTGACAGTTTGTGATTTGGTGACGGAGAGGGGGTCAAGATCTAGTGTGACATTGCACATAATGTTGTTCTTTAATCACACATATACAACATGAAATGGATAGTGATGTTAAACTTTATGTTGCCGTAGAGGAATTTGGACCAAAGATTTCCATTTATTACAGATTTAGAGTTAATTTAAATGAATTCATTTAACAATTTTTTTTAGAGTTAATTTAAATGAATTTATTTAACAATTTTTTTAGTTCGAAAATGTGACGTACTTTGTTAAAAAAAGTGGGGAAGGGGTGGGATTGAGATTTGTTACAGAATGTGACAGGAGGGGAGGGAGGGCGGTACAATTTTCCACACCAAAAAAAAAGCATGACTTACTTTATGGACGGCCCCATAGTTGACAGACTGACATTTTCACGCTTGTGGCATGAATAAGGACAAAATTGTGATTGAAAAAAACTGAAATGTTCCATGTGAATAATGAAACAAATACTTACATTAATATTTTCATTACGAGGCATGACATTTAGAAAATAAGACAATTAGAAGACATTACATTTAGAAGATAAGACATTAGGAAGGCAAGACATTTGGAAGATAAGACTTTGGGAAGGCTAGACATTTAGAAGGTAAGACATTTAAAAGGTAGACATTAAGAATGCAAGGCCCTAAAAGTCAGACACATGAACTATTTAGAGAAGTAAACGGCGAAAACGTTTCTTCCCCACTTAATCATCTAACATTAGAGTCAAAGAAGCTCTGAGGAAACTTTCGGCTTATACGATGATTGAGATACGTGACAGTGCCCCGATAAAATTCTCCTTTTGGGGCGACCATTTGTACCTTATTCAGGACTAACTTTTTGGACACATCTCCAGTTCAGCGACTCTCAAACTTTTTTCACCTGCCGAGCACGTTTAAGAATCAATTTCTGTCGGTGAGCGCCTTAGGCCTCTACCCTGACTCGAACAAGTTTTAAGTGGTTTTCATTTTATTTTATTTCCCGGAGAAGCCCAGGTGCACAGATTGGGAACCACTGCTCTAGGTTGTCTTTTTTCCCTGACTTGCATAATGGCGTCTTGGGTGGTAACAGATGTGTTCCGTTCCGTGGTGTGTCTGCTGAGAATTGGAGAAGCCCAATTTGTGGGGCATAATGAATTTATACACATGTTGGGACCTAGGGAGGCCCATCTGCTGGGGCATAATGACTTAAGACCCATGCCGGGCACTAGGGAGGCCCAACTGCTGGGGCATAATGACTTTAGACTCATGCCGGGAACTAGGGAGACCCATCTGCTGGGGCATAATGACTTTAGACTCATACCGGGAACTAGGGAGGCCCAACTGCTAGGGCATAATGACTTTAGACCCATGCTGTGAACTAGGGAGGCCCAACTGCTGGGGAATAATGACTTTAGACTCATGCCGGTAACTAGGGAGGCCCAACTGCTGGGGCATAATGACTTTAGACTCATCCCGTGAACTAGGGAGGCCCATCTGCTGGGGCATAATGACTTTAGACTCATCCTGGGAACTAGGGAAGGCCCAACTGCTGGGGCATAATGACTTTAGACTCATCCCGGGAACTAGGAAGGCCCAACTGCTGGGGCATAATGACTTAAGACTCATCCCGGGAACTAGGGAGGCCCATCTGCTGGGGCATAATGACTTTAGACTCATCTCGTGAACTAGGGATCCCCATCTGATGGGGCATAATAACTTTAGTTGAAATATTTTGCCGCCCCTCCCACACAGAAAACTCTGCAGCTGGCCGAACAATACGCCGCCCTTACCAGACCCCCCCTCCCTCCACAACTCTCCCTCCCTCCACAACTCTCCCTCTTTCCTACGTCAGTGCATGTTTGATGTATGTGAAAGAAATTCAAATCTCTGTTATTTCACAACACATAGCTCGGTCTTTTCTTGGATGAAATGTGAGATTACGAGATTATACTAATCTATGTTTCTTGTGATAATACAAACACTAGTAGGTTAAGAAGTCTACTATATCTTTTTTCTTTTAAAAAACAAAACATTTTAATCGTCAACATTAAGAATTAGCATTATCCTTGTTTATTGAAATTATGAAAATTCTATGACACAATAAAATTGTTTATAGAACTAAATCGTAGGCTCTTTTACACTCATGGAAGAGTTCACAAATTTGGTATTCAAATTTTCTTTGAGTCACAGGAATTAAGTTGATTCCGTTGTGGCTAGAGGATCGCAAAGCCCGCAGTATTTCCTGCAAAACTTGTGTCCATCAATAAGGTCATGACAGATAGGCTGAGAGGATTCATTCAACAAGGCGCAGTCTCGAACAGGGAACACGTCACGACATTCACTGGGGTGAAGTGTGGCTGGGAACGTAGGAAAAATTAAAGCTGCGAACTAGGGAACAAATGTTAACTGTGGCTGGGAACAAGGGAGCAAATGTTAACTGAGGTTAGGAACAAGGGAACAAAAGTTAACTGTGGCTGGAATAAGGGAAAAAATGTTATCTGTGGCTGGGAACAAGGGAACAAAGGTAAACTGTATCTGGGAACAAGGGAACAAATGTTAACTGTGTCTGGGAGCAAAGGATCACAAGTTAACTGTAGCTGGGAACAAGGGAACAAATAAATATTTGTGGCTGGGAAACAAAGGAACACAAGTTAACTGTAGCTGGAACAAGGGAACAAATGTTAACTGTGGCTGGGAACAAGAGAACAAAGGTTAGCTGTGGCTGGGAACAAGAGAAAAAAGGTTAACTGTGGCTGTGAACAAGGAAGCCGTCTGATTTTTTTCTTTCATCCTGTAAGTAGCCAATAGATATGTGAGTAGCCATAGATATGTGAGTAGCCAATAGATATGTGAGTAGCCAATAGATATGGGAGTAGTCAATAGATATGTGAGTAGCCAATAGATATGTGAGTAACCAATAGATATGTGAGTAGCCAAAAGATATGAGAGTAGCCAATAGATATGTGAGTATCCAATAGTTATGTGAGTAGCTATTAGATATGTGAGTAGCCATATGTGAGTAGCCATTAGATATGTGAGTAGCCAATAGATATGTGAGAAGCCAATAGTTATGTGAGTTTGCAATAGATATGTGAGTTGGCAATAGATATGTGAGTTGGCAATAGATAGGGGAGTATCCAATAGATATGTGACAATGTACTATCGATTCTGTAATAAAAGTTTAATAGCTATTCTATTTATCCAATCAGACAAATACTTACGACATCCAAGTTCATCAGTGGCGTCGCCACAGTCATTGTCGTTGTCACATCTCCAATCGATGGGGATGCAACGATTATTGGGGCACTGGAAATGGATGGTGCTGTCACAAGCTGCCAGTTAAAAGATGATATTATTGGACAATGTTTAGTTACACAAGCTGTCACCAGAAAGATGACTATATTGGAGAAAGTTTAGTTACGAAACAAATCTGTGAAAACTAATGTAAATTAATTCGAGAATGTAGAGGGGTGAGATCAGGTGCAGCGTGACAATGGCACGCTGACACACGTACGAAACATGACCCTTACCCCAAACCCCGCTGACCCCAGTGACCCCAATGATTCTAAGAGATAATTCATGTCTGCAAACTAAAGGTCACACTCACTACAGTTAAGCTCATCACTGTGATCGCTGCAGTCAGGCCCCCCATCACACACGAAGCTGTTTGGGATACACCTCGACCCGTCAGCACAGGCAAATTGGTGGTCTCTACAGGAACCGGCAGCTGCAGGATGGTAACAAAAGTGTTATAGTGACAGTGTCTTACAGGTAGCTTAAGACAGTGGTATTATAGTGACAGTGTCTTACATGCAGCTTAAGACAGTGGTGTTATGGTGACAGTGTCTTACAGGCAGCTTAAGACAGTGGTGTTATGGTGACAGGGTCTTACAGGCAGCTTAAGACAGTGGTGTTATGGTGACATTGTCTTACATTCAGCTTAAGACAGTGGTTTTATAGTTACAGTGTCTTACATGCAGCTTAAGACAGTGGTATTATAGTAACAGTGTTTTACCTTCAGCTCCATGCAGTAGTGTTATAATAACAATGTCTTAACTTAATTGTGGTGGTATTGTTTCTAGCCTGCTATACTTACTGCAGTTGGACTCGTCCCAACCAGTCCCACAATCGTTGTCACCATCACACACCCACAGTTCAGGGATGCACTTGTTGACGTCACAGTGTACCTCTTCTTCCGCACAATTCAGTTTATCTACACACACACACACAATTACAAAATGTCATACACTGCCAGAGTTTTTCAATGACGTCATTGTAGATGAGTTTTTTATGGTCATGAAAATAAATGAAACGCGTTTTCTGTAAATGAAACTTCAAGAGGCTGTCACGTGATGAAAAAAATAATTCTATTCATAAGTTATGCCATCTTTACCATACAATACATGTTTCGGGTCCCCAAATTATAGAGAAACATAAGAAAAAAATGCTGGTAGTCGTTGTAATCATTCTAGCTGAGGTTAATGAGAAGCGATAACAAACACAATGCAACCATCAAAACCAAAAGTTTTCCAAGCTCACATTCATTTATTTTTTTTCTTGTTTACCAACTTGCATGTGCATGTAGGCTTTTATTTAGGTCAGTGGATTGCCACAGAAGTTTTGGTCTTGACGCCCAAATTAACGTCACTCTCATGACATTCCAAAATTACAATTATTTTTCTTTCCACTGATTCAAAAATTATTAACACATGTTTTCCCATAGTTAAAGAGAGGGACAGTCAAATTTAGATGACTTGAGGACTTGAAACTGGATGGCGTTACGAGTTTGATGGATCTTTCACATTCTGCTAATCAAGTTTATAGAGAGGACAAAAACAATCGCAAGAAGGGTGTTAAAAGTGAGGGAAGGACCTGGTCCTTAAATTGTTTTCAATAGCCACCCGACAGTTAGTCGTACTTACGACATTTCAATAACCCCCCAGCAATAAGTCGTACTTACGAAATTTCAATGACCACCCAGCAATAAGTCGTACTTACGAGATTTCAATAACCACCCAGCGATAAGTCATACTTACGACATTTTAATAACCACCCAGCGATAAGTCGTACTTACGCCATTTCAATAACCACCCAGCAATAAGCGTACTTAGCCATTTGAAAGCTACCCAGCAGTAAGTCGTACTAACGACATTCCAATGTCTACCCAGCAGTTAGGGTTACCGGAAATTTGATCGAATCATTTTTTTCCAGTTCACACGTTAAAATTTTCGTCAAATTTCTTTTTGAACGCACTATACTATATAACGAAATTTTAATATAAAAACTGAAAAATTGATTAAACCAAATTTCCGTTCGATCAAATTACCGTCGATCAATTTACCGTCGACAAAATTTATTTCGATCAAATTCCGGATACGAGCAGTTAGTCCTACTTACGGCAATCAACCTCGTCACTCATGTCTCCACAATCATTGTCTCCATCACAGATAAACTCCCTGGTCACACAGCGGCCATTGTTACAGCGAAACTGGTGCTCACCTGTACAGTCAGTGGCTGGAAGCATGGAATAGTTCATCAAATTATATTCATGTACACAAAGGGGCCGGGATAATGGAATAGTTCATCAACATATGTTGAAAGTGTGTCCTTCTGATCATGTACAGTCAGTGGCTAGGAGCATGGAATAGTTTATCAGATTTTGTCCACAATTGTGGCCTACTAATCATGCCCCATCCTATTGATTACGTGAGCTGATTTAGGGCATCGTTAAATAAGATTATCCTTTTGATTATCTCATCTTATTAGAACATTGCGTGGGGAATGTATTATCATAATGACTTACGACAGTGGGCCTCATCCGCTCCATCCGCGCAGTCCCTGTCAGTGTCACAGAACCAGTCGAGTGACACACACTGACCGTCACCACACTGGAACTCATTCGGACCACACGTCACTGTCAGGTGGAGAGGAAGTAAAACCTATTACTGGCATGGATCAACGTTTCTTCGGCCTACCCTTTGAGTATACGTTACCATAGCACTTACAGCAACGGTGCATAGCACCAGATTTATTCTCACAACAGATGTGAGTGTCATGTTATCGACTTATTGTATTTATGAAAATGTAATCCTATGGTCAAATTTCAGGGATATACTCTTTGGTACCCTTGATGCACCTGTCTAGTAATGGTAAATTTAACCATCCCAAATGTAATTATGCATAGAGGCACTGATTTGTTGTTAACTTGTTTTTAGCGCACTGTCACGTGTGCCTTTTCCAAATATGTATTAATTTACTTGTAAGAATTTACCTGAAAGAATTTACCTGTAAGAAGTTACCCTGTAAAATGATTGAATTTAATCTTCATCTGATGTATAAAAACCTACCGTTTGAATCGAAAACAAGACAGCCATTTTGATTTTGACTTTTACCTTGTCTTTTGAAATACTTTTTTGCCTCAAGACTTCGGACATTAGTTTGAGCAGCTTTCCTGAGCTTCTTCTTCGTGACACCACATTCAGCGATTGCACACGTCAAGGCGAGAACCAAGATGCACCATTTTATACACGCCATTGTTTGTCTCACAGCTCAATGAATAGTTGTGCACAGAAAGGATCACCCTTGACTTATAAGACGTACACATTGGCTTCAGTCTTATCTATAAACATTTTTTTTTTAAATAGTCTATGTCTAATGTCTAATTCCAGCTTTTTTTTTAAAATATATAACTGTTTTATTCTGTGTTCTAGACGCAATATATGGGTGCTACCAATAAAAAATATATTTTAATCTTTGTTAAATCTTTTTAACAAAGTCTAAATGCTGGACATTAATAGTTTCAGTAAAAGAAATGCATTGAAAAGTTCATGAAATGAAAAAAGTTATGTTTCGAAAGAGATAATATACATACAAATTGAAAAGCTTACACTAAGCTTGGATAAAGTAGTTTTATCAATTATTTATAAGTTATTGTTGACTAAATGCGTATAAAAATTGCCTAAAAATTACTGCACCCTGAGGGTGTTGAGATAGAGTTATGGGTAGATAAAAGGGTTTGGAGATTTCGGTGGGCGTTGGGGACTACCATCGACGCTGGGGAATTATATAAAGAATTTATTTTATATTAAAATCATATATTTAAAGAAAGAAGACCAACTGTTTGAAAGCCAGCATCAAATAAGAATGCAGGAGGTAGAGACGCCTCAATGACACCATCTAATGTTTTCACTCATCTGCAGTTGTGTTAGAGGTTACTTGAACTAACTGACAAACAGAAATACCAGCGGCCATTCGCATCACAAGAATGACATATACATCGACTATTCGCATAGCATGAATGACACATACAGCGACTATTCGCATGACATATACTTAGCAGGTCTTATGATGTCAACTATGTGTACATTGCCTCAGCTGGCTTGCTTATTTATTGCTGAATTTGGAGATTCACATACAACAGGTGAAGAGCCTCAATTTACCATGGATTTATAGGTGACTCATTTCAGTTTATGGATATAGGTTTTATTAGGAGTGATAATTATGTGTATACGTTTTCTGATATAAACTAATTTTCATCAAGCGCTGCTGTTTGCAAGACATTTTAAAAAAAAACAGGTATTGGAAGGGGTTGCAATAGTTTGTATTACTTAGCAGCTTTTTCAAGGAAATTCCGTGAAATAAAACTCAATTTCTGCTATTGCTGCACCATCAAGTGACCAATTATTGCTGATGCTGCAACATCAAATGACATAATTCTGCTGTTGCTGCACCATCAACTGATCAACATCTGCTGGTTCGGCACCATCAAATGACTCGTTGCAATCGTGTGTTGTTGCTGGTTCGTAACGAAAACTTGTTACAAAATGTTGAACTACTTATTTATCGCACACATCAGGATGTTACAAAAAACTTTATCAAACACCGCCATAATTGCAGTGAATATAGTTTAAGCCAAATTGCCTCTGTCAGTGGTGTATTATTCCTGACACTCTGAACTTTGTTGGCATCAACTTAAACACTCTATCTCACAAGGATGCTGACACTTTTGAAGACGCAAAGTTTCTCTTGCAATTTATCAAAACATCTGCTAAATAAAACAAATGAATGAATTGGAACCCCAACCCCACAACCCCCTCTCCCAAATGACATTGTCCGTTACCTCTATAATAAAAGTCCCTCCCTCCTCTCAAATTATTTGTATCTTCACCCTAAAAAAGATTAACCCCCTCCCCCACCCACCAATGAATTCACGAATTGATTTGCTAATTTCACTCCCAAAAGGACTTGCTAATTTCTCTCCCAAAATGACTTGCTAATTAAAAACCCCCCCCCCCCCCACTTCCCACCAAACAAAAGTCAATCTGTCACATCTGTCACATCTGTCACATCTGTCACATCAACAACTGTTTTTATTTGCTTAGTTTGTGTGTGGTTGTGTGGCACGCCAAACCACACTTACCCGCCACCACACATCGAAGGAGGGTTGGCAACCATTAATTTTACCCCACCGTGCTGCTGGACATTGAGTTTCTAGTAGACGTGTCCACCGCTTACGTTGCCCATCACAGCACCTCTTAATTCTTATTGCTTCCCCTGATGTTCTTTCCTCGATCGACATAAAAAAACAGCTTAACTCTAAGGACCACGGTTACAGATTATGCTAATCTTTGACGAGCTAGCTGACTGCTGCAATGCACAAACAATATCAGATATTCTATTCATTTGGGTTTTGCTTAGCATTTTCTTCCTAAGCATTCCTTTCCTTAGCATTCATTTCTGTAGCATTCGTTTCCTTGACATGTCACCAGCATTTGAGAAATTCATCCCTTCGGGGTGGGTAGGGATGGCTTAAGTGTAAATTATCAGCTGAATCCCATAAGAAATTCAATCCACTATTATAAATTTGTGTTCTGAACTAAATCACCAAAGGAGTTCAAGCCATTAGTCTAAAATGTGTGCTCAAGTCAAGGGAGCGCACTTTGTGATCATTCAATTACCTCAACCTTGATGATAATAGCTGTTTACGCAAAACTTTAATTTTATTTTATTGAATCATCGATTGTTCGAATTTTTTATTCATCGAGCTACATTTATCTTAAAATAGTATCTTAATGAGTTCAAATGTTTATTGTAACAAAATTATCCTAGTACTTGTAGTTGTTCCAGAGATCATCTCTTGTGTTCATTTCTCATAATAGAAATCAAACTAATATATTTTAATATCAAACAAGGACTATAACATTTTAACCAGCTTGATAAATGATTTGAAAAGATGAAAGAGAGATAAGTCATGATTTAATAGAGATCAAATGCCCACAAGTTTAAGCCGTATATAGAGTCCTAGTTCCCCTTTAAAATAAAAATAATAATAATCTATATATATATAAATGAATGTTTGTATGTCTGTATGTCTGTATGTCTCGTATGTGCTCCTACACCATTCATGCGATTGCGACAAAACTTTGAACATTTGTTGTCCACATAACCGGCCATTTAACTGAGTCATTAAAAACCTTATCAACTGTTCCGTTCGTAGCCGTTGGCCCTTAGTTCGTATTTTTTCTAATATGAGCTTTGTAAAAATATTTTCCACATGCGCTCCTACGCCATTTATCCGATTCATATAAAACTTTGGTGAAATGTTGAGAGCATGTCCATAAACATTTCCAATTATTACAATCGTTTTAAATTATTCAGTTTTGAGCCAGGGGCCTCATATTCGTTTTTCCTAATATGAGCTATATAAATATATTTTCAAACCGTTTGCGCTCCTACACCAATCACGCGATTGCTACAAAACTTAGGGAGTTGTTGTCCATGCGCCAGTGCATTTTACTGTGTTATTTAAACACTTTTAAAAATATTCCGTTTTTGGCCGTTGGCCCTTAATTCGTATTTTTTTCTAATATGAGCTATGTCAAAAAATAATTTTCATATGCGCTCCTACGCCATTTATCCGATTGCAATAAAACTTAAAACTTTGGTGAGATGTTGGAAGCACGACTCCAAAGGTTTTTAAATTATTATAAACTTTTCAAAATATTCCAATTTTAGCCAGCGGCCTTATTTACGTTTTTTTCTTATACGAGCTATATAAATATAATTTCAAACCTTATGCGCTCCTGCACCATTCACGCGATTGCGACAAAACTTTGACGAGTTGTTATCTATAAACATAACCATTCATTACAACACGTTTAAAATATTCCGTTTTGGGCCGTTGACACAAATTCTTATTTTTTCTTATATGCGCTTTGTAAAAAATAATTTTCTATGCGCTCCTATACCATTTTTCAGAATGCGATAAATATTTAGTGAGATGTTGTTCTATCGCCCACAAAGGTTCTTAAATTACTACAACCGTTTTAAAATATTCAGTGTTGAGCCAGGGGCCCTATGTTTGTTTCTTACAAAATGAGCTATATAAATATAATTTCAAACCGCATGCGCTCCTACATCATTCAAGCGCTTGCGATAAAACTGAGGTGAGTTGTTGTCCAAGAGCCAGAGCATTTTTCTAAGCCATTATAACTCTACTAAAATATTCCGTTTTTTTGACAATCGCCCTAAATTGGTGTTTTTTTCCTTACATTAGGAGCTTTATAAAAAATAATTTCCGTATGCGCTCCTCTACATTATTACAATGCGATACAATTTTAGAGAGATGTTGTGCGCGCGCCCGCCCGCAAAGGTTTCTTAAATGATTACAACCATTTT